CGTTACTGTGCTCTTCTTAACTGACTGCTGTTTGCTTGCATCCTCACCTTCGCTATCATCCGAACTGTCTTCGTCGGATGACTCTTTCTTGCGCTTATTTTCAGTGCTTAGAACCTGTTTTTTGGCGTTGACCTGAGCTGCTTGATTTGATTTTGCAGATTTATTGGGCGTTTTAGCAGCAGCATCATCCGATGACGAACTGTCATCTGAACTACCACTAGAAGCTGCGACCGCAGTTGTCTTTCTCTTTTTATCATCACTTATTTTACCGCTAGTTGCATTTTTGCCTTGTGCTGCTTTATTCACCACCACTGTCTTCTTCTTGCTCTTGTCATCCTCATCTGAATCACTCGAAGAAGTACTACTACTCTCCGAGGATTTATTTGCACCAGTCACATTCAATTTAGCCTCCGCTCCCTTTTTCACACTTGTTTGCTTCGAAGATTCTAGCGTTTGTTTGAGCATTTGCTGGGGCTTCGATGTCTGCTTCTGACCCTTATTCGATGGTGCTTCGTCGCTCGATGACGACGATTCAGAAGATGACTCTTTCAAGACCACTGCTGGCTGATGTTTCTTTGGAGTCGCCTTCTTTTCTTCATTCGATGACGAATCACTGTTGCTACTTTCGCTGTGCTTCTGTTGCTTTTTCGTAGCATTCACGTTCTTTGTAGTCGCTGCTGAGCTTTTAGCTGCTGGCTTTGATGAGGATGATGAGATAGCCACTTTTGCTTTTTTCGCCTTCTCATCACCACTATCCGAAGAACTATCCGATGACGACGACTCTTTTGCCTGCTGTTGTTTCGTATTCAATTTTGCTTTGCTGATGACTTTGCTCTGTTGTTGTGCAGCAGTGGATGGAGATTTCGTTTTAGTTTTACTTTGATCATCATCAGAATCTGATGAGGAATCCGATGAAGATGAGGAATCGTTTTGTTTCTTGTTGACAACTTTTTTCACTGGTGGAACACTTTTTGGAGTAGTTATCGCTGGCTTATCAATAAGTTTCTTTTGAGTGGTGGCTTGTTTGTCGTCGTTATCGCTTGAGGAGGAATCCGAACTAGTGCTGCTGCTACCATCATCTTTACCACTTGATTTCTGCACTATTGGTTGCTTTTTCGCTTCTGGTTTTCCGGTTGGCTTTTGTGGCTCATTGCCACCTCCTTTTTTGGTGGTTGTTTTCTTCGGTACATCACTATCTGAGTCGGAGGATGAGCTCGAAGAGGATGACGATGAGGCTTGTTTCTTCTGTATTTTTGCTGTCGTTTCCTTCTTCATCGCGCTTATTAACGCATCAACTTTGCTCGGTGCCTCTTTCTTAGGCGTTTCCTTGTTGGATGACGCTTTTGTGGGGGCCGAAATTGCTGCTGCTTTCTTGGTTTTTACTTTAGCATCTCCCTTTTTGTTGGTATCATCATCATCTGAAGTTGTCGTTTCTTCGGACGATGACGAACTCTTTTGAGCGGCACTCTTAGTGGCGCTTGTTACGACTGCTTTCTTGAGAGCACTCGACGGCTTCGGTGTTGCCGTTGTACTCTTTGACTTAGTTTTCTCAGCTGCGTTTTCCGAACTGCTGCTATCACTACTGCTGCTGCTGTCATCAGACGCTGCTTGTTTCTTTTGTACTTTTGCGCTCGTCTCTTTCTTCATCGCGTTCAATAACGTGTCAAGTTTGCTCTTGGCCTCATTCTTTTTCTTATTCTTATTCTCGTCGCTGTCTGACGAACTTTCTGATGTGGATGACGAGGACTTCTTGGACTCAGCTGCCGCCGTCTTGACGGCTTTGGTGGCGATGGCTGAATCTTTTTGCTTCGGTGCTACAACTCCGGAATCATCCGAACTGCTCTCCGAGGAATCGTCTGACGGCGGAGCTGCTTTCTTGGCCACAACAGCCTTCTTCTTTTCCGTTTCTACTTTCTAAAATTATTATAATTATTATTGCTAAATTTCTTTCCTGAAACGATAACACGACAAACAGCTTATTGCAGTTTCACACTAGGCCATTTAGTATCGCTTTGTTCAAACGATTCTCATTCTTTCACTCTTCAAATTTCTCATTATAAAGTCATCAACATAATATTATAATCATTACTTTTATTACAATAATATTTTATTATTATATAATCGTTACTAACGTTTTCACTATTAATGTTACCAGCATCACAATTATTATCAGATATTATTTTCTATGATAAATATATCAAAAATGATAAAACATGCATCATTAAATCTATTAACGGGCGAAATATTTCTCAAAAACGAAATCATTTATTAAATGACCTTTGGAACAGGCTCATCACTATCATCGCTTGATTCACTGCTACTATCAGTCGGCTTCTTTTTTTGCTCGACTTTTGGTTTGGCTACGGTTTGTGCATCTTTCACCGCATTTTTCTGCAAAACAATTTACCAATTCAAGGNATGAAAATTTTACTCTCTAATGAAACTTTATCTCTGAATCCTTTAAACTTAATATCCGTTTATAGACGTTAAATTCAGCCTTATGGATGTAACACTGCAATGTTTCGTGGGTGTATATCTATTCTGATATATACCATTCAATGAACAGCGGTGTCTCTTCTGATTTAGGGCATCGCTTAAATATTAGAGAAATACTCTTCATTACTCTCCATACTCTGATATGCCCTTTTTTAAATAGACTGAACGGCTATAGATTCAGTTCAAACATCCATATTACATTTCAGTTTACGGAATGAACAATAAGGTTCACAAAGCAGAGCCAAATCTGAAGATCGAAAAGAAGAAATCAGTAATCTTCAAGAACTCTCAGGATTCAATTGAATGGAATGAAAGGATTTAGTTTAAAATTCAGATAATTATGAGAGATTCCATGTGTCCAAACCTTAATTTGTTCATCACTACTTGAATCTGAGCTACTACTTGATGAAGATTCCTTTTGTGCTGCTTTCTTCTTAGCCGCAGGAATTTGTTTCGGTTTTACAGGTAATTGCTGCTGTTTTTGTTGTTTTGCCTAAATTTGGAATGATAAGCGAAAATAGTCATACGGAAAGTGGAGCATTTTGTTACTATCAGTTAGATGAATCAATGCTTAATTATTCTCACTTTTATAAACAACGCTTAACAGTGAATACTATCATTTGAATGAAACGTACAACAAATCAGAATTTTCAGCCGAATGCTACACATAACCATAAATGTGGGCATCATACTTTGTTATGCTTAATATAACTCGGCCGTTAAACATTCTCCACTGATTCGTTCGTTATTAACAAAATGGCCAATTTCGAAACAAATACCGATTGACAAACACACTGACCTGAGGCATTTCCTCATCGCTATCGCTGCTCGACTCAGAAGATGACTGATCCGCTTTCTTCGCTGCCGAAACCTGAGCTGTCGCAGG